CGCTGAGGGCGAGAGGGATGGAAGGGCACTGCCGGTGCGGACGGGCTATATTGGTGTGTGTCTACGCGCATGACTGGTTGGGTAGAGTCTAAGTTCTGAGCCTCGAGGCTGAGCGGGTCTAAGTGTGACTAGTCACGCTGGGGTGCTTACGCGGTCTAAGATCAGCGAGAGCCTCTTACATCGGCTAAGTCGGCCGTGGCACAGCCTGGGGCCAAGAGGCTCCCACCGTGATCAACGATACGGCGCTAGCCCCCAAATTTTCTTCGCCTGCGGCGGGCGCCTTCTAATCCGGATCGATCCTTCTCATGCTCAGCAATCGCCGCCTCAGCATCCTCCTCTTCCGATTCTCGTTGCTCTTCTTGAGCGCAATCTTCAAGCCAAACAGTTCTCACAAATAGCCTCAAGCTCAAACAAACGCATGTCAAGGAAGCCTGTGTATGCTGGTCCTCTTTGAACGATCCGCGCGTGAGGTAGATCTAGCATAGGGCCTTGTTGGCAGCAGCCAGCTTGTTGCGCTGCTTCGTTGCGATGAGCTGATTGGGATCGCAGAAGTGCATGCCAAGCACCGCCACGATCTTGAAGCAGAACACATCGCAACCGCATCGTCCGCACTGCCATCGGCATGCCGCGCCCGCCGCTTCGCCGCAGCCGCCTTAAGACACGCATAGCGGCAGCACATGGTACGGTGCGCGTACTTGAGCAGGAGTTGCGCGCCGCAAGTAGCGCACTGGCCCTGGGACAAGGCGATATGGCGTCGTGCGCGGCATACGTTGGTCGGGACGCGTCCAGGTATTTTTCGGGTAAACCTGGACTTTTGCAGGTATACCCGGGTTTTACCCGGATTTGGCCTTGTGCCGTCTAAGTTCATGGCCCCCGACCATACAGCGTCTAAGTCCGAGCCCGGCTCCGTGCGGGGGCTAAGTTGAGCGCTCGCTCGCTGCAGAGGCTAAGTGTAGAGCGACCCTCTAGCCCTACTACCCAACCATTACTCTGACACGCTAATCTTGAAAACGTCCAACGGAGGTCCGTGTTGCTCCCAGCGCCCTCCCCCGCGCTTCCTGCGGCCATGGCCGATGATACTAGTATGAGAGGTCATCTGGCTACCGCGAGCGCGACTCAACTCGCCGACGTCGTCCGATGATTGTGCCTCAAAGATTGGAGCGTGCTTTTGCCGTTTGTTTGCCGGAGCGAGTTCTTTTAGATTAGTGTTCCGAGGGGGGGGCGGCTCGCTGTCGCTCGCTCATTCCAAAAGCAACAGTCAGCCTCCGGAGGCTATCGTGGGGTCGAGCCGGCGGTAGCCGTGACATGTGGTTCCACCACCCCTCGTATGCTTTGCCTCTGACCGCCACCGTTCCCAGGCTGCCAAATGGGATGGAAAGGAAGGCTCGGTGAGCGTATAGAAGCGTGCTCGACCTCGTCGTGGCAACCTGCACGGCAGCGCTGGTAGGCGCGATGAGCGTCGTGCCACCTGACCCGAGACGGGTCGCAGGCGTCGTACCGAGCGCGTCGAGACCGTGTCCTGATGTGATCTGCACGGGTGAGTCACGTCGGCGTCAAAGGAGCGACGTGCGACCTGTCAGAGCTTGATCTCCGATCTCAGCGGCGTCGAGTCGTCTCCGGCGCGCGACAAAGGTACATACCCAGGACGCGCAGAGGCAGCTGCGACCCGAGATAGAGCACTGACAGGTCGCACGTCGCTCCTTTGACGCCGATGTGACGCAGACGTGCCGTATTTGTGTTGCTTTCCCGCGGGG